CAGATCGTGGGAGGCTCGTCGGTGTTGTATGCGCCCGAAGCCAGAACAGATGAGGGCCAGGGAGCGAGCAAGGAACAACTCCGCGGTCACCGGACGGGGGGGGGAGCTATCGGTTCCAGCGTGCGGGACTCGTCGATGCGACAGGCAGGAAACAGTGACGAAATTGCTTCTGGTCAGTGTCCTTGGTGGGGGTCCAGGTGAGGGGCTGGTGAGTTGTTGACTTTCGGCTTTAAGACCGAGAGCGGCGATCTCGGTCTGATTATAAACGTTGAGAGTCGTAGTGTAGTGTGCACGTCTTGGATCACAGATGAATTGCCCCCGAGTACTCCGAAGCACAATGATCGTGATGGCACGTACAAAGGACTCCCTGTTGCATTTCGGTGCTCAAGAAGAGCCAAGGTGAAGCGGACAGGGAAGAATAGAAAAGGCGCCAGCGGGCGTATGACTTACGCTTGTGAACAGGAGCACGGAGTCAGTTCGTTGATAGTAAGTCTCTCATTCACTGGATCAGAGATCAGGTTGCGCGAAGGAGGATGGGAAACCTGCTATTCTTGTATTTCTTGCTGTAGCTGTCGAATGTTCCTCTGCCCCCCATTCATCCCGCCGTCAGTCGACACAGGCCGCAGCGAGCGTTGCACCGTCGTAAAAATTGGTGAGCCTGGGCCCCTCGGCCCCCCATCGTCCACAGCGAGGCCGGCCGCCTTTACACTCAACCTCTGGTATCCAATCGTCGAGTCGCGCTTCGAACCTCCCAATGCCAAAAAACCCCGCGCCTCTCCGGTTCAATTCGCGCAGACAGAGCACTCAGCCAAGCGTACTTGGTGGATGTCTGATATGAACTGGGCTGGGCCTATCTCTTCCACCACCGAAGACCTCCGGTTGAGATTCACCGTGGGTGAACAGCGGCTGGCCAGTCTTCAGCCGGGGGCTCCAGCAACTTGGTGGAGTTTTGCACATCGAAGGCGCTTTTCTCTATACACGAGTTTCGAGATGCCATCAATTCGTCAACGATGACTGAAAAGGTGGCCGAGATAATGAATGACATCACTGATATGCCAAACGACCGGAATTGAAGATACCTTACCATCCAGGTACGCTGCCCCAGTAGTCGTAACACAGAACGATACAAGACGGCTTTTCTTTTTTTCTTTTCGAAAGCACATTTTGAACACGGGGCGCCGGCCCCGCACGTAGCTTCATGACGATTTCGTGACAATTTGCATTGTAGAACCAGTTCGGACTTCGGTGGGGGTTGATCACACTACATGACCTGCCATGTTTCGTTTCGAAGCATCTCCGACGATCGAGGGCTGCAAGGCTGATGACTCCGGGCACTCTGACGCGCGATTGAGGGACTTTCTCCAGGATAAAGTATCGGCATAGACAATGGCAGATCCACTCCCTTCGGCCAAATTGGGCGAGCGAGCCGCACCAGTCATGAGAAGGCCAAGCACGGGCCATTTGAAGCCGCAATTACTCAGCGCACCAGCCACATTTTCTGGATGAATTACTAAGACAGGCTGATAGACGATAAGCCTCGATCGAGGCCTTGAATTATTGAACAGGCGAAAACGCACAATCCCCGTCACCTGACCTAGGGCAACGCCTTCCCGAATCGAAAATTATTCCAGTGGACCTGCCACCACCGACCATCACGACCAGCGACTCAACGACTCACACGACAAATCGGCCGGCAACTAACCTTGGAGAATCGTCTTGCCGCGACAATTCTCTAACTTTCCTTACAACAGCACATACGTTGGAGTGAGGGAATACGACAAGATGCCTTCGGAGCAGGGACACAGACGTGAGTAGTCCCCCGCCAACTGGCGCGCATGCAGAGGATGCACTTCACGATCGCATCGCAGGGCATGCAACGAGTTTGAATGAATCTTGGCTAACAGTGGTCCTCCAGTATACGTCAAGTGAGTATTACCATCTATCGCACTCAGGAGGATCGCATTGCGGAACTCGAATCACGAACATGAACCGAACATGACACACAACCCAATCCCGACCGACCGAGCGAATCTTGCGCACACAGCGAAGCGATGGGACGAGCATGAGCAGGAGGCTGACTTGAGGAAATAGGGGACGTCACCTGTCCTACCAGCGTAGCCGCCACGTCACGCACTCCGAGACCAGCCTGATCAAGATCGAGGGCGTTGACAACACCGACGCTGCCAAGTAGGCCAAACCCACCCTCCCCATTGACGATCACCAAGGCACTGTTTGCTGACCCTCGAACAGCTTCTACCTCGGCAAGAAGGTCGCCTACGTCTACAAGGCCCAGAAGGAGATCCGCGGCTCTCGGATCCGTGTCATCTGGGGCAAGGTTACCCGTCCCCACGGTAAATACACCTCCCGAGCAGTTTCCCTCGTCTCACGACGTAGTCCCACTGACGCTGTCAACAGGCAACTCTGGTGTCGTCCGCGCCAAGTTCCGCCACCCCCTGCCCGCCAAGTCCTTCGGTGCGTCGGTTCGTGTGATGCTTTACCCCTCCTCGATATAAGAGGGTTTCTCGTCTCGGATGGAGTTGGTAGTGAGGATGGTTTCTGAATTGGCTGCATTGGCCATGGTCATGGTCAAGGATCAGAGCATAGCCTTGGGCTCAAGGCTCCCCAAATGAAACTCGTCAAACACAAAATCCCGCTCAAGCCGCGAACAAATTTCCCACCGCAGCCAACGAAAGAAACTTGTCGAAACGTTCTCTTGAAGGCTTTCCCCCCCTACGAGACCCAACAAAGAACGAAAGAGAAAGATGAATTGGCAAATCCCCCGCGTGATCTCGGTCCCCGCGTGAGAGAAAAGCAAGCAGCCGACTGGAATTATGAATTGGGAGAGACCACAAAAAAACAACACACTTGCATGAGAGGAGCCGACGGCGACGACACGATTTGGAGAGCGCTTGGGAAGGGGGGAGGGTACGGAGTTTCGGACACCGCCAACCTCTCTCTCTTCCTTTCTCTCCTCTGTCAATGACTTCGGTAATGGGATGGGTTAGACCGGCACTTTTTGTTGTCAGGATGCGTCGCATTTTGCGGCGTTATAAACATGATGATTTCTCGCGCCCACGCCTTAAACCGAAAGCCCATCACCGCCATCCTCAGTCTTGACCGGACCTGTGCCCACCCTCCGTCCCATGTGCTATCTTGAACCACCTATTGTTACTAAGTCTGATGTCACTCCATGCCATATCGCTGGTCCAAGTAGGTGATACAACGTCACGGACACTAATGGCTCGCATGGTCTGAAGGCATATGCTCTAGCTCTTGCCGTACTGCCGATGCTTTCATGTCAGGCCGGTTCGTCTATCGACGCCGCGGATCGTATTCGCGGATCGTATTGCCCAAATGGCACTTGCTGTTGGTTTCAATATGCTCCATGGTACCTTTCGCCGAGGCACATAGATCTCAGCAGACGTAACCCATAAGAGTGTAATTCAAATCACAGACGAGAAGCCCATCCCTTGAGGCGATCACGCCCGCTCATGTCACAAGTTTGTTGGTGGAAACATCCACCAGACATCCTCGCCATGCACGCTGTGGCATCATGCAGGGTCAAAGCCGCACCCGGCAGCAACTCTGTTCTCGTCAATGCCTAATTGCAAGCCGATCTGTGCATGGTCTCGGTCGCGTCTTTCTACCTGCTGCTGATTTGAGTGCGGACGACACTTTTCGGCGTTATTAGAGGTACCACGACATCAGTCGAAGATATATGAGGTTGGTCGGGGACGTTCTGGCACCATTAAAGAAGCAACCAGCCCTTTACTGACAAGCCACTGTTATGAGCTAATGCCAGTTCGCATTCAATCTTGCGCCCCGGAGCAGCCTCGATTACTCTGAGGAGGGCAGTGATAAGACGCCGGATAACCTCAGCGGACAATGAATAGTACCTCTGCCTGCAATCAAAGAACTGTTGACTAGGCGTAACGTAATCGAGCACCTGATGTCATGCTGTTTTGAAGAGCCTACAGAATGTGGAGTTGCTGCTCTTGCTTGATGTATGCGCGGATGTCTGGCGGTTGCGGCGGCAGCCAACGCGGTGTTCGTGAAGGCAAATACATGCACAGTCAAGATCGGACACTCGCGATCAACAACGGCAGCTCAGCAGCTAGCAGCTGGCTATTGATCGATGCCATCGCTGTTGGTTGTCCCTTTGCAAGACGGTTTAGTTGATTGTGACCATGTCGTGATACGACGTTGAACCCCCCCCACCCCGAATCTCCGGCTGCTAGTGGGCTGAGACATTGGTGCTTAGACATAGAGTGCCAAAGCTATTGAATGTTGATCACAGTGCTTTCTGGCAGCGCTGCTGATGGTGCTGGGCGTCTGCGCATGGAACAAGAGTAGATAGACAAGGGCTCAAGGTGATGCCGGATGTATCGGACATGCGGTGAGGGCGATCGGGGAACGTTCCGGGAATGCCGTGTGTAATTCGATGATTGCTTGACCTGCTGGCATGCGTTCCTTACCAACATGTCACGAGCTGGACAACCAAGTCACTGTTGATGTTGATCACAGTTCCAGCGTCAGGTCAAATTCGATAGCCTTGCTCGGAATTGAGACTCGTGAGGCCGATACAGAGGAAGCTGAAGGTGGCGGGAACTGGGTGCGTCTTGTGGGCGAAGCTACAGGAACTCAAGGGAAGAAACTTTAAGCTAGAGTGCTGGCCTGTGGCCCAACAAACAAAACCACCCACTCAGAACGAAACAAGCTCATGGAAGACGATCCGACAGGTACCTTAAGTCAATGCACCACAGTGTCTCCACGCTGCCAAATGTTAGGTTGCCGCCGCCAGGAAAGGCGCCATCTGGGGTTGGGACCTCTGGCGCTGAAAGAGGCTGCAGCTAACCGGTCAGTATCGCATGCTTTTTCGTTAATCCTGGTGCAAGTCCGAACGAGCCGGTGACGATGGCAAGCTGTGTCTCGTATGCTGGCAGGCAGGCTGGTATGCCACGACGCAGGCAGGACCAGGGGGCCTGGTAGCTCGAACCACGATGGCTGGCGCCGATGTTGATGTGCCCCTCACTTGCAGCTCGAGAGGGGAGATTCTCAGCATTCAGTCTGAGAAGGTCAAGGTGTGGAAGCCGTGGGATTCCGCAGAGGCAGAAGCAACCGATGGTGCTCATCCAGGGGAAGCGTCTTTTCGTATTCTCTGTAGCATAGCCCCTCAATTGGCTCAATCGTTCGGTCAACCCGCCGGCCACAAGATCCAGCAGAGTAGCAGTACGTGGTCGATGATGAGGGCCGTCGTCAGAAGTGCCCCAGGATACGTCAAGAAGGTCGATCGGTGCAAGATCAGCGCCGTAGGCCCAGGTACCATGTACCCCCAAGCCCTGGTGTGTTGGGACAACTTTGGGAGTTGGGATGTGCTGGACAGGGCCGTCGACTACGACGCTGGTAAGGTTCGCACCATGACAATTGAGATGGGTCCGGGCCCAGCGGAGGAAAGAACCTGCCAGAGCCCGACGAGGGGCCGGAACGCGTAATCACAATGCTCTTCAGAACGGTCGACTGGACTGATAACCCATGGGCAGATTGTGAGACGATTCCGCCGTCTTTGAGGTCGGCGCAGCATGGGATGCCCGATTTCAGAAGACTTTGGGAGGGGACGGGGCAGGCTAGTCCCATGCAGGCTGGCGTAGCCACTGGCGGCAGGGCACCACGCCGCAGCTTTGCGCGGCCTCATCGATGGTTGGTCTCAACCTGGCGAGGTGGTGTGTCGTGTAAGCATTCTTCGTGTCAATTGCCCGGCCTCGCAGCTCGTATAGATAGAAACCCGCCACCGCCGGACTTCGCTTGAACATGACTCCTTTCTTGGCTTGATCCGATTCCTGATCTGTTTTGCCTCACGTGAACTCTCACTATCAGCATCGTGAGATCCCGCCTCATCAGCAACTCCCACATAGTCGGGAAAAGAAAAAAGGACCACAGTCACTCGTTTTGTCTCGCCGCACCGCCTTCAATCGAGTGGTGACCCACCAAAGACCGACAGCCAGTCAGCACCAGCCTGCGCAGTTACGCAGACACGTCCGGCACTCGTGTGAAGCCAGCCCTTCGGACTCGTAGTGCCTGAGCCGTTATCGTCGCCGTCGCTCACTTGAACGCTTCGGCCAGCGGCGTCAACGGCATTGCCGGACCTTTTGCACAATAGTGTGGTGCCTAAGACAACAACGACAGAAAGCGTCAAAAGGGTCGACGAGAACAGGAGACGACTGATTTGCACACATTCCGAGGTGCTAAGAAGCCGGCCAGACGCTGAAACACCACGCGGGACGTCAGGAGCTGCTGCAGCGGTGGTTCACTGTCAGTACAAGACACATTCCAGACACAGGGACACACCTCAGCAACGCAATTGTGAAGAGCTACGCTTCCGTCAAAGACAAGTCCCGTGCTCAGCCGTTGAGGAGCAGTCTCCCCAGACGCCATCAGAGGGGTTTCGGAAGTTGTTGAAACATTTTATTTTCCCTTCCCGTTCTGGTGGGATACTCCCGTTGTCGATCTGCGAACGCAAACCACAAACAGCAATCCAGACCACGATTGGCAGGTGACTGCAAACAACAGGCGAAAAGTCTTCGACGAAAGAAAGCAGCAGAACGACAGAACAAAGTGACAGGAACGGAGTGTGGTCAATTGAGACGAAAATTTCGACTGTCCACAGAACAAAGATCCAAGCGCAAACGACAAGACAGGAAGCGATATCCTGTAACAGCAGCAAGGGCAGCCGAGCATTGTGGAGCGGAACGCGCCCCCCTTCCCTTCCTTCGATCACACTCTCATCATCATTATCGTCGGAGGGAAAAAATCGCGACCAATTTTCGGGTTGCTAGCACAACGCGCCAGAAAGCCATCATCCACTGGACGCGAAGCGACGCCAGCCAAGACCAAAGACCAAGACCAACAACCCAAAGCGGCGGCCACTTGGGCCTCCGATCCGCCGTTTGGCGAGTACAGGGGACCCCCCCCTGCATGCAGATTTTTCCGACTTGGCACGTTAGCGGCCTCCACTTCCAGCCACCTTGGTTCGAACCAGAAGCAAAAGAGCAATCGCCATCTGTGTCGCCATCGACTTTGGGCCGCGATTGTGCCTCCAATTGCCTACGAGAGCCAGCCGCGCTGCCACGTCTGAATCCACATCCTGGGTCCTGAGCCACAAATCCACACCACCCACGGAGCCTAGCAGGAGCAAGGTTCTCAGAAGCCTTGGCACCTTTGTCGGTACCGGCAACGCAACATTCTCTCTCGTTGCCTGGCGCACCTGCCCACCCCCCACCACCACCACCATCCTACCGTTTCCAGCAATAGGCACTCCACCTTCCAAGCCGCAAAGGTCGAGCGAGGTGGACGCTCTCCGGACTCGAGCGCTCTAGGTATCCAGGTACCCAAGTCTCCAGGTACCTCAGCAACCGCCCACCACCCCCCAAAGCCCCCCCCCCCAACCACCTCAACCGGCAACAAGAGAGACACGGGCGCCTTCCCTGATTCTGCGTGCACCTGCGACAAAGCAGTTCAGTCCCATACCACACGATTGTCCATTACCGTCCGTCTCACCTCACCTCGCCTTTTTTTTTCTCTTCACTCTCACCACCTACATCATCTGCCTGCCCCTCCATTCAAAGCCCACACCTTCGCGACCCGGGCATCTCCAAACTGCTGTCGCGTCCATTCGCTTGCTCTCCCCGTGGCCAGGATCTTTTTCTTAAAGTGGACTTGTTCTTCTTTTTCCATCCTCTCGAAAAGGATTAGACGCACATCTTGCCTGTACGGTACCTACACTACCCACGCAAGCACGATCCTCGCCGACACCCACACCTCCACTTGACGCCCGCGATACGACGCCCGTCCCTGGCAATCACCCTCGCTAGCCCTGTGTTGGAACCGCCATTGCGTACCCTGGACCCGGACGATACCCAGTATCGCCTCCTTTCGCTTTCTCGATACCAAATCTGCTACCAATTCCCGATCCAAGCTCCTGCGCCGAGACTTTGACCGGTCCGCTACGACTCCAGTCTTACTCTCCAGCCAAGCACACAGGGATAGTCCACCACCCCCCCGTTTAATCACAAGGAGCACCATCGCTCCCCCCCTGTCCGAAACCATGGCCGACCTGCACCAAGATAGTCGTCATCCCCTTCCGCCTCCTCCTCCCTCGCACGAACATTACTCTCACCAAGACACCTCCTACGACTACAACCAGCAGCAGCAGCAGCAGCAGCCCCAGCAGCAGCAGCGTCAGCAGCAGCGTCAGCAGACTTCGCCCATCTCTCCGCAGCAACCCGCCTTTGCTCAGCAGCCACCTCGACAGCCCCAGCAGTACCAGCAGCAGCAGCTACAGCAGCTTCAGCAGCAAATTCGACAGCCGCCCGCTGCCCAAATAGCCCACCAACAGAAGCCCTCGAAATCTAGGACATTCAGCTTCGGGTCCGGCAAATCGCGACGGAGCTCGACGAGCCACCCAAGGCACGACGACACGCATGAGACATCGGCAGAGAAAGAATCCCATCGTTTACACAGCAAAGCCGACCCCACCATGGCCATCAGCGAAGCCGAGCCAGGTGAGCCCGATTCCGTGGCAGGCCATTGATCACCCTTGCTTGATGCTAATTCATCAACAGCGGCCGTACAGGCAATGACCAAATCCTCTCTGGCACCTCTTCGTGCCATCCAGCACAGAGACTCCTTTGGCAACGCAATCGGTGAGCCACCCGCCCAGGTCGATCAACCCAAGACAGCAAGCTAACACCACGCCAGCCGACCCCGACCGTTCGAACCCCACGCGCAGCCGCTGGGAGCGGCCTCTGGATACTATCCGTAGCTGTGAGGCGGCAATTGACGGAGGCTATTCGCGCAAGTCCATGATACGATCAGGTACGTCAGGTCACGGCCCTGTCTTAAATGGATTTCATGTTCTAACTCGCCATGACGTAGACACTGAATCAACCCCGCAAAATGGCCGGCGGAGCAGCTATTATGCTGGCAGTACGTGTTTCACATGGTCCTGCAGGAAGACGATTTTCGTGCTAACACCAATCCAGACAACGGTGCTCGATACCCCCAGGACAGCTACTATGGTGGACGTCCCAACTCTGTGCGGCCTGAGAGTACGCACATGGACTACAACAGCCCCAACCGCTCCGGCTATTTCGATGGTGGCTCGTACGGCCAGGGTGGATACGGGCCTGGGCCCAGCCGTCAGAGGGCACCGAGAATGAACTCGGAACCCATGAACGGCTATGGCCGTGGCGGGCAACAAGTCTACCCGATCCCCCACAAGGACCGCTCTTACGAAACCGTCACAACAGCAGCAGGCAGCGGTCACTCCGAACAGGCCGGCTACCAGACGGACCCGACAAGCAGTGACAACAGCTCCATTGATCGGGTGTCGCCTGCGAAACGTGCGGAGCCGACCAACGACTATGGCATCGGCTTCAACCAACAAGGCGCATATCAGCCTGCCGCCTTTAACAATTACGCTTCGGGCGCGAACGGTGCTGGCCCCAGCGGCGCCAACTACCGCCCCGCCCCCATGACAAACCTGAACTCGGCTGCGCCGCCCGCCGCGCCCCAAAAGCTGGGAGGCGGCATGTTGCGCAAGCAGACCACTCAGCAAAGCACACAATCACGACCAGACGTTGGCGAAAAGAGAAAGAGTTGGTTCTCGCGCCGCTTCAGTAAGGCCAATTAAGCCTAGAAGGGGCGAGCTCTGGCCCGTACGCCAGAGGCCATGAGCTACGGGCCACGGGCCCGTGGAAACAAGTGGTAATGACTTTTTCTTTGTGGATACCCTAGTTTCTCTACATATCGAACACGACGAGCTGGGCGCGCGGCTGTTCAGAGCGGGAGGTGGGTGTGAGTACATACATATATGCTCTGTGGCGAGTCTGAGTCAGCGCCTCTCGTTGCAGGGATAGGGCATCTCGACATGCGAAGCATGAATGGTCGGGGCTAGTGATGGACGATAAATGACCCTCTTCGCCTTGTTTCTCGAGTTCTTGTCGCACTGGAGAAATAGAGTAATGGCCTTGAATGCTCGGAACCTGGGGCTAAATCAATTGAGTCAAGATCGTTTACAATGAGATTCGTGGCCGATTTTTTTATGAACCATGGAACATTGACGGTGTAGCACAGAACTACCTTGGGTACCGCTTTATTATTCTACAACCGGCTAGCTAAATGGAGTGAATGAAACAAGAAGAGCAGGCTCAGCGATACTTCTTGCCATCTCCCTTTGTTTTCTTCTCGTCCTGCTCCGGCTGATCTTCCTTCATGGCAACGACTATGTACGCAATGAGCACCACATTGGCCATGACGGCGGCAAACGCGCCAGCAAAGGTGGAATTTCCTGCCAAGAGAGTCAGATGATCGATGGAACAGACGGAGAAGAGAGGTGGGCAAGAGCGCACCTTTGAAAACCGTGCTGACTGTGACGAAATAGGAGCCGATGGGGAAAACGATCATGGCGAAGGTGAACCCTAGGAGCTTCACAATGACATCGGTGGGGACGGCGGGTGCGATGTTGGACTTTTCAGCCGGAGCGCTGTTAGGCTCATCTTGGTCGAGGATGGTCTTTTCCGTGGAGATGATACGTCGGGTCGCCATCTTGAGTGAGGAGTGGGGAGGATGAGTTAACGCGGCGAAGGAAACCGGTTGAGGCGGGTGCGGTGCTACGAATGAACAAATGGTTAGTGCGGTCACCGAGAGAGAAAGCAAGTTCTCACATTGTATTCTGTACAATCGCACTGCTCAAAGTTCCTTGTGTTGTGGGTCAAGGTGATGAGGTCTGGGGCCAAGGTTGATGGTGACGATGAAGCTCATGACAGTTCATAGAGAGTCCTGAGATGGACTGTGCCACCCGCCTCGCACTGTAGACGTCCCGTTAATTGAAATGACGTGGATCACGTGCTAGCGCGCGCCAGGACCCCCCTCCCTCTTCGACGCGTCTCTTGCCGTTCTATGTTAGTCCCGGTTCCTGAAATTCTCTTTGCACAGGAAGAGCTCCTCCCTGTACGCTCTACCCGCCCTTTCCAAGAACAATAGGCCTTTGCTTTCGGTCCTTCCTTTGACGACCCTCTGAATAGGGTCGAAGCCCTCCAGTTCATTGATCTCCGATCTTCGCTCGTACCGCACCGCATCGTCTTTGGATAGTTTCTCCAATTCCTCTTCATCTCTTTTTTCCTTTGCATCCACATCGTGAGCGGATCACCTCGAAACCTCACTCGGGATCCACATAGATACCAGAGATCGAAAACGTTTACAACACACAGCGACATAACTTCACAATGGCCGGCCTAGCAGCTGGTTTCAGCTCTTCGCCTCCTGGCCGGGGCTTCGACGACGACGACGACGACGAGCTGGCCCGCGACACGATTCCCTGCTCACCCTACGCTACGCAAGCAACCCAGGTGATCAATCGAACATCCCTGCTTCCCAAACACACTGAGGCGCCCTCATCGCCTCTTGCATCGAGCGTCGTCGAGGTCCCCGCGTCTTCTCCCTTCCAGCCGAAGCCTTCCAAGGCGCCATTTGCGACCCGCCTCGCGCCTGCGGGCACACTCTTTCGGCCTCCTCCCCAACTGCCGCGGGGCATTAAACGCCCAGCTGCCGAACCGATCATGATTTCGTCCGATGACGAGAAGAGCCCTTCGAGGGGCGACATCCAGCCGACAGCCTTCAAGAAGCGCATGACCGCCTTTCACTACGAACCGACGGAAAGGATCGACAAGCTGGAGAAAATGACGGCCTTGACGGAGCAGGTTTCTACCGCAACTGGTCAGAGCTTCCCGTCTCGCGCTTGTCGCGAGGCTCTCATGGCTTGCCATAATAACGTTTCTGATGCAGTGAACTACCTCTATGAAGGCAAGCACCTGCAGAAGGAAAAGAAGCACGGAGCCACCTCGGCGCCGCTGTCTGCCGCCTCGACGAACCCGCTCAAGTCGAAGCCGTCGCTCGCTGCTAAGGGCAACGGTGCCGACTTCTACCAGACACCGAACCTCAGCCCTCGAACACCGAGCCCGGCGAAGCAGGCGAAGCCTCGACGACGTCTCGTGCAGGGCCGTCGCCCGAACCGATCGCCCTCGCCCCCGACGTCGCAACCAGTGCCGGAGGCGCGGGAGGTCATCAATGTGGACGATGAAGTGGATGAGATTGCCGAGGACAGGATTGTCATTGCAGATGACAAGGACGACGACTACGACAACGAGGACGACCTGATGGAGGCTACCGTCAAGGAGAGCCTCTATGACAAGGCTCTTAACACCATCAACAATAGTTCGATCGACGATCTCTCGGCCATGACCAACCTCAAGCAGGACGAACTACAAATTATCGCCACGAAACGCCCTTTCCACGATATTGACCAGGTCGAGCGTGTCACGGCGGCCAAAAAGTCCAATGGGCGCAAGTCAAACAAGGCGGCCATTGGCGAACTCCTCGTCGAGGCCATCATGGAGTTCACCAAGGCGGTCAATGCAATCGACACCGTCGTCGCTGAGTGTGAGAAGAAGGCTGTCCGGGTGAAGAGTGAGATGAGTATGTGGGACATCGACTTGAAAGGCCACGCACGAAGTGGAACGACTTCTCAGACAGACAGCGACGATCTTCCCATGACGCCCAACAGCTCCAAGGGTCAGAAGTACTCGCCACCACCGATCCCTCGCCAGCCGGCCTTGTTGGAAGGCCACTGCACTATGCGCCCTTTCCAGCTGTACGGCCTCAATTGGATGTCAGTTTTGTACAACAGCGGCTACGGATGCATCCTGGCCGATGAGATGGGCCTGGGCAAAACGTGCCAGGTCATCTCCCTCATGGCCCACCTTGTCGAGAGTTATGACGAGGAGAAGGACGAGAAGCGGCCGTGGCCGAATCTGATTGTCGTCCCACCTTCCACGCTGTCCAACTGGGAGGTTGAGTTTGAAAAGTTTGCCCCCGACCTGTCCGTCTTGACGTACAAGGGCTCGCAGTCTGATCGCGCCATGATCGCCGAAGACATGTTAAGCGCACCCGAGGAGTATCACGTCGTTCTCACGAGCTACACACAGGTCGGCAAGGAAGAAGACATCGACGCCCTCATGGAGCTACGTCCCAATGCCGCCATCTTCGACGAGGGTCACAAGATGAAGAACCCCAAGACGAAGATCTACAAAGACCTCATCCGCATCAAGGCGGACTGGCGCATGCTCCTCACGGGCACGCCTGTGCAGAATAACCTCATGGAGATGCTGTCGCTTCTCAACTTTATCGACCCCAAGATGTTCAAGGGTCACATGGAACACCTGCAATACATGTTCAGCCAGAAGGTCACGACGAGGGACGTGAACAACGGGGCTTTCCTGTACAAACGGAGCGTGTCAGCCGGGGACCGGACGATTTCTAGAAGCTGTTCCTTCCTGCAGCGGCGCAAGCAGCAGGTTCTGTCGGGCATGCCGAACAAAGACGTGCAACGTCGACTACTGCGAGCTGCCGCCTCGCAGAAGGCGCTGTACGATGAGCTCGAGACCATGTTCAAGTCGGGGCCGGTGGGCAAGAGCAAGACGGGCCAACGTGCGGCAGAACGACGTCAACAACATCTGGATGCAGTTGCGCAAGGCGGCGATCCACCCGCAGCTGTTCCGACGGCACTTTGACGACAAGAAGGTGGAGAAGATGGCGGGGGTGCTGATGCGCAAGGTGCCGCAGTCGGAGCTGCAGCAGCCGAACATGGAGCACCTCATCGGGGAGCTGAAGAACTGCTCGGACTTTGAGCTGCACCTGTGGTGCCGCGACTACAAGTGCCTCGAGGGCTTCGACCTGCCAGAGGGCTCGTGGATGGAGAGCGGCAAGGTGACCAAGATGCTGGAGCTCATCCACCAGTACCAGGCGAACGGGGACCGCGTGCTCGTGTTCAGCAAGTTCGCCAAGGTGATTGAGATTCTGCGCGAGGTGCTGCACACGGACGGGATCAAGCACTGCGTGCTGTACGGCGCGACGTCGGTCGAGGAGCGGCAGGGGCTCATCAACGAGTTCAACGAGAACACGGACATTCCCGTGTTCCTGCTGACGACGGGGGCGGGCGGCACGGGCATCAACCTGACGTCGGCCAACAAGGTCATCATCTTTGACCAGTCGGACAATCCGCAAGACGACATCCAGGCGGAGAACCGCGCGCACCGACTGGGCCAGACGCGGGATGTCGAGGTGATCCGGCTGCTGACGAGGCGGACGATTGAGGAGCTCATCTTCAAGGCGTGCGAGAAGAAGATTGAGCTGGCGAACAAGGTGACGGGGGCGGTGGAGGACCTGGGGACGAACGCCGAGATCAACCTCGAGAAGGAGGTGCGCAGGATGCTGGCGGACCAGCTGACGCCGCCATGAAGAGGAGGCTGGGCCCGCCTGGCGTGCTTCGGAGCGAGCGGTGGTTCACGACTTTGACGACAAGGCGCATAGAGCGAGCGGCGTGTTATATTTTGCTTTGCTGCTCCGTTGGCACAGCCGGGGCTGAGAGTGACTGGAGGTATCGTGTGCATATTTTTGGCATGGAGAGCGATGAGAGAGACAGTCATACGCAAGTGGAGAGGGGTGTCGCCGTGTAGAGACAGGACACCTGGATGGCCTCAGGGCCAGTGATGGATGGTTAACCATGGCAACTAGTTGGATGAGTAGAACTTGTCACCGTCTACCTCTAGATTACGTGAGATCGTGAACTAGATAAGGAATCAACGGCACGTCGTCGTTCGAACAGGACGCCAAGGCATATGTTCTCGTGAGGCGCACCACGTTTGGCAAGCTGTGTGTTTGGTTGGCCTTGCATGTCGTGCTCTGGTGAACGGAGGCGTCAACGGTCGTGCCAGCCCGGCGCCGGGCGAATGAGGTCTTCCGAGTGACATGGTATCTGTATCGATGAGTCCCCCCCATTACGTCACGATAGCCTTCCTCGCACCAGGCTTGGCGCCGTTCTCTAGAGGCCCCCTCCCTGTCTCTCCTCTTTCTCTCTCTCTCTCTCTCTCTCTTGACTTCTCTCAGTCTGGCGTGCGACGTCGCAATAGGCATCAGGGGCCAATTTGTTGCTTCTCCGAGCCGGAGCAGCACCGTGCCAAGTGGGACGAGTACCGGCATTCGTTTCTTTCGCGGCGGGTTGGTGGGTGGTGGGTTGGTGGGTGCGGCGCGATAGAGGGGCGCCAGCTGGTGTCACCAAATTCAGGTACGTAACCACGCAGAGAGGCCGGTGAGTGGATGGACGGCCTGGTGGACATCCCGCATCGACCCGTGGCAGCGGGCGCTGATAACCCTTTTCTTAGATTCCCTTTTCTTTGGGGGAGAGGGGGGGGGGTCGTCTGCGCGCTACTGGGATGCTGTGTGGCTGTTCTGTCGTCCTTGGATCTAGATGGACTTGGCCAGAGTTCATCTGCCTGTGGCCTGTTTCGTTGGGCTGTGGCACACACGTATCGCAGAGAGAAAAAAGTGACGTCTTTTCCTCGTGGCTTGACCTGCGCTGCGGCTTGTTCTTAAGAAGCCTGTCCGCGCCCAGTCCCGCGAGGCCGCCCCCCCATCTGCTTCGCGTCCTTCCTGCTCATCACGACCACCTGTTGTCCCGCGATACATCACTGAGCCCCCCCCTTGAAGCGACGACCCTTTCCTGCGAGCCAACGACTTGAACGAATTTAAAAAAAAAAAAAAAACAGACAAAAAAAGCACTCTACACACGCACATCTAACGCACGCACGCGCAATGCCTTCCGCAGCAGCTGGCGAGGTCTCCCACGGCCGTGGCGGCGCCGGCAACATCCACGCCGACCAGACAAAGTACGTCGACGGCGCCGTCGTGCGGACCGGACCTGAGGGCAGTCACAATGACGGCGCGTACAGCGTCGGACGCGGTGGTGAGTTTTGCTTGCCTTCCCTTTTTTCCTTCTCTTTCTCGCCGTTTCACGATCCCCCCCCCGCCCTCCCTTCCGCCCTGGTCGGGCGCTGTCTCTGTCGTCGCACGGCGGATACCGACCAGGTTCGCGAGACCAAGACCATGGCTCTTATCTCTATGCTCAACCCATTTGTCCCCTCTTCCCGATCGAGAACCACGGCGAATGCAGTGGCGTTGATAAGGTCGAGCGAAGACGGACAGGGGACCGGGATGTCCGTGGTACAAGGGGGGGGGAGGTAGGCCCCACGCTTGGCTGGGCGCGGCGGCGGCGGGAGCTCGTCCGTCGGCAACGGGTCTAGCGTCGCGCAGGCCTGTCTTGACCGACGACGCACCGACTCGCCGACTGCCCCAGCGCATCATGCCCGAGCCTGTCTGTCGACTTGCAGAGAGAAGATGGGGCAAGCTGAACCCAACACTCGGGGCAAGGGACAGCAAGGCGTTGGGTTGGGGGAGGGGAGAAAGGAGAAGGAGAAGCGAAAGAATACTGTAAAACTTTGCCGAAAAGACAAACTGACAGCTCGCAGGCGCTGGAAACATTGGCGACGTCGGCACCAAGACGTCCGTCGAGGGCCGCGCCGACAAGGACGTCATCCCGACCGAGGCCTACCGACAGTCGGGCGAGGGCGGCGACTTCCACACCGGCCGCGGCGGCGCCGGCAACGCCTACGAGGCCTCGTCGGCGCGGAACGACGGTGACATGGACGGCAAGGCTGCGAGCGCCGCCGACCGGGCTTCTGGCGGACCTGTCGGGCTCGCGGACAAGCTGAAGAACAAGCTGTTTGGCAAGAAGTGAGACTGCTTGTAATTTGGCCGCAGGACTGGGAGCAGGCAAGGGCTGTGCGGACGAGTGACGGACAGACAGGATTTTGATACCACAGGGGGGTGCCATGATGTGCTTATGTTGACGAGATGGATGGAGGATACGGCACGGGATGGAGGACTCCTTATTTGCTACAACTACCCTTCTCTACACCCCTTTGATGTGGACGATATGGGGTTACACCCATCATCCAAGCAATGAGGAATTTTGAA